AAACAGTCAATTGCTTAAGATATGATTCTAATGTTGGAAGCAAGGCAGAAACTAAGCTTCTAAGAGGGTCTTGTATGTTGAACATATTTAATATGAATTCCACAATGTCCGAAAAAGCTAGCAAACCTCGTTCGGACTTGGATTTCTTTTGAGAAGTTTGAGGAGCAGCTTTATTATTTTTCTTATCTTTTTTTGGGCAATGGTGGAAAATTCCTGCTGCATCCAGGGATTGGTTCAGCAGGAGCCTTCGGTTTCGTTTTTTCATCCCCATTACCCTGGGAATTTGCCAATCTTCTGGAGGTGACTTTTGTTTTCTTACGGCGCACTTTCGGGGAGGGGCATTTTCTTTTTGAGGATCCGTCCATTTTTGAAGGTGCGTGTACCACCGTAGAATCACCTTCATCGGATGAGTCAGAGTCCGATTCTTCAGCTGACAAAATCGAAAATTGGTTTGCATCTTGGACGGCTGATGCAGCCTTCAACATTTGAGCATATGTCTGCTTGGAGCGTCCAGAGATTGAACGCTGCACTTTATCGGAGTGCTGCTTGTACATCGGGCACTCCTGCAAAGGGTGAGGATTCTCGCCACAATAAGCGCATTTTACTGATTCTTTGTGGCAAGAATCCTCTTTGTGGTTTTCACCACATTTGCCACAACGAGTTTTGTTGCCGCAATGGCTGGCCGAGTGTCCCAGCCTTTTGCAGTTGGTACAATTGTATACCCTCTGTACAAACAGCCGCACCGGAAAAAAAACACCATCAATTTTAACAAAGTTTGGGAGAACCGAGCCTGCGAAAGTCACGCGAAACGAGTCTGAATGCCGATAAACTTTTTTACCGTCTAGCAAAGATGCTGAATGCAGTTGCCTTACATCCAGTATCTTCACTAGCGCGGTAGCGAATGTGGAGTTTTTAAAACTTCCCGAGGCACGTTTCAAGTCCTCGACAGTCAGACTCGCGTCGGAGACCACGCCTTCTATCTCCACATCTCGAGAAGGGATGTAGAGTATAACAGTATAACAGTAACAGTATAACACTCAACACTAAAAAGCTCGTGTTAAGCAATTTTATTTGCCACATCATAAGTCGGTGCTTCTACCCGCAGTTTGTTGAATCTTTCCTTGTGTACCAAGATTCCCGGATACTTCCGCAGCAAATCTCTCGTAATGTCGAGAGTTTTCAAAGGTTTATTTTTGGGCCGAAAAAAGACAACCCATGGTCCTTTCGAAGACGGTGGGTAGTATCTGGTTCGCGCAACGTAGGCATCCGAAGACGCCATAAGTGTTGCGCAGAAGCGGTGCACAACCGCTTAAAAATGAAAAAAAAAAACTTAAGAATAACTTTCACCAATTAATTTGCTTAACTACTAGTTGTTAATATTTCGTTGCCATGCAACCATACAAAAAAAAAAATTATCAAAAAAAAAAAAATTATATAAAAAAAAAATTAACTTTTTACTAATTGCAAAAATGCCCCACCCTATTAGGGAGAGCACACTGCCACAAGGCAACTTTGCTATACAATAGCAAGGCAATCGAAAAAACTATTCTATTATACTTATGCCGTTTGCTACTGCTTGCTTGCAGCTGCAGGTGGCGATACAATGGAGACGTCGATAACTGCGATACAATGGAGACGTCGTGATGATGGTGATCTTTCACCGGGATGGGTAGAGATGGACACTCGAAATAAACGGGATCGCCGAATTTCGGTGCTTCCGAGACACGCGCGCTTATCACCTGGACACTGCACTGTGATGCGAAAAAAACCACGCGGGTGGAAAAAAATCACAACTAATACTTTATGTCGTGTGAGAGACCGGGACCGTGTTAACCGACTCAGCGCTCGATACGGAATGATTGAAAAATTGCGGAGCAATGATTTTCCAATCATTGCCAATTGCCGTTACACATTTTACCGGAGTGTTAACACAGAAACTTTTTGTTTTGTTACATTTGTAGTTGACATTGTTTTCAAACGATTTTTTTTATCACGATGGGTGGAGCAATATTTGTTTACCTTCAGGAGCGCAGAAGATGGCCCAAATAGAATCAAACTGTTTATTTATTTGAAACTGATGGGTGCAGATTTTTTTTTTTTCATAGCATTTGTTCTAGAAGTTGAAATATATTAATTCCATATGTAAGGGTGCTGCTGATTATACCTATGTTATGTTGAGTATATCTCATCAATTGGGCGATATTACATTGCACGATGTACACAGAAATCGCGAACAAGTTTACATCCATGGATGTAATATTGTATGTCCTTTTTGAAATTGGATCCAGATAACGTACATCAGTATGAATAAAAGCAGTTGATCGATATTATTTTTTTTTCAGTGTAGGGAACTTTGAATATAAGCTCATTTAGCATCCCCTCATCATTGTATTCTAGCAAATCAAGATTTTTTATTTAAATCTGAGATCTTGAAAATATACATTATTTGAAGTTAAAACCTCTCAAAATTCAAGAATGCGAAAATTTGTAATTTATAAAAAAAAATCACAATTCCAGTACGCTCGTAAATCGATAATTTGTTGCGATGTGCCTGGTTAATTTTCCAAACTGAGCAGCTCCAATAGCAAAATACGCAAAATAGCGAAAAAACAAAAACTTTTTAATCAACTATTTTTGGTGATGGACTAGCCCAAAAGTGGCTAAAATTCACCTTAACAATAAAAACACTATTGCCTTATGGGGTGGTCATTCTACTTCAATGGTTGTTTTGCTGTAAATTTCTAGCTACTGTATCATTTTTCGTAGAGCTGAGTATTCCCTAAGGGCATATTAGGATATTTCATCGCTTCACATCGCCATCGCTAGGTTTGAATCGTAATATAACAATGAGTGATGTGTCGCGATAAGAGGAGCCCGGTGGTCTTTGAGTGACCCTTTTTGCTTACTAAGCAGAAGATCGTGGGTACAATCGCAGCCTTCTTTGCACTACCCAAGCAACGCACATGTTCTATAACAGTTTATATTATACAAAGGTAGTAAATTGATTTTGGTTGTATGACAGTTTACTCAATATCATTCTCTAAATTTGTGTTACTTGAGTATAGAGTCCGTTAGCGTTGCATTGCTTTCGCTAGTGTTACAACGAGCCCTCCTGTAAACTTTTCATCCAAGGGAAACGTTTGCAAGTCATAGTGAGTGAGTTTTTGCTATCTTTTCCATAATTGAACTTTAATCTAACTTAGGCTTGATCTTCTCTTCCTAATTCTCACTTTAACATCTACACAAGTAACTTCTCCAATTATTGTTAGTTAATTTTTTAGTCATTTCAGTTAGTTTATTAGCTGGTTAATCATCTAGCCATATACAGTGCCTTCCCGTTTTTGGCAGCACGAGCTATTTTTATTCTTTACTTGCAATAAAATTTAACGATCACTAAATTATATTTATGAAAGTTCTTAAGAGATCAGAGATGGCTGGTAATGTATTACAAATCATCCAGAGCATTGGTAACAAAAAACTGGAGAAACAAAATACTAATGAAAAGTACTGTAGTTATTATTATTTTTTGTTTCCCTTGATTTGTTTTCCGTCGATCTTGTGTTCGGTGCTGAACACCAATGCTACCGACGCCAGGGAGGCAGCTCCACCACCTGGACCCTACCTATCGATCCATCAACTCATGAACCGGGGATCAACGGCTCTACTTCCGCTCCGAAGGAAGGCGTGATCAGAGATGTTATGCCGGCGGCGCCGACTGGGATTGAACCCAGGCCTGTTGGGTTGAGAGGCAATCACGCTTACTACTACACCAGCGGCGCCGCTTGTGTAGTTATTAAATTTGTTGGCTAGCGAGTGAGCTTGCTGCCTATTTAGTTGAGCAAATCAACGCCAAATGATGATTCGTTTTTACTTTACGAATTACTTACGAATTCCATGAAACTCCGCATAATTGTTCAGGCAGGGGCAGGGGCATTGACCCGGGTTGTGCTGGAATTCGACCATTTGATTCTCGGCTTATTTTTGAATGGCGTGTTGGATATTTTCCAATAAATCATAGCACGTCTGAGGCAAAGTTGTAGGAAACCTCGATTACTTTTTCAGAAAAAAATACACACTGAAAAAATAAAATAATATTTGTCAAAAAAAAAAGCAAAAAACTGTTAAAAACTACAAAAGCAAAAAAGTACATTTTGGGTATTTAGTTCATTTGTTAAAAATCAAAAAGAGACATCGTTTTTCAAACAATGCTAGAAAGCAGTCAATAGTGAAAATATGATCTATTTAAATCACTGTGCAACGGGAATGTCTGGTTTGTAAATTTGATGTAAATATCATCGACAAAATTTGTGTGAACTATTAACTACGTCTCTCGTTAATCAAACCAATTAAAAAAAATAACTTTACTTCCTTCCTCCCTATTTTTATTCGAGTTTACAAACTGAATTTTACGTAAACAATCAGATCAATTGAATTTTCATCCCTTCTGGCAAAGCTTTTGTGCAACTTTCGCAAACTTCGTCCAGTTCTGCATTTTCACTGTCTCACTTCCATTTTCTAGAAATAAAAGTTGTTTATTTGCACTTTTGCAAACAAGCACCGCTCAACTCCCGCATAGCCACGCATATTTATGGCACTTTTCCTTCGTTGTCCATTGTCGTCGTATCTAGTAGGGATTGTCGTCCTGCTTTTTTTTCCGTTACCTTCCACTGAGTTGCTGCCTTTCAATACCTTCTGTCCACAAAATAACAAGCAGCAGCTGTTTCCTGATTTCCCTGAGCAACTGAAAAAAAACGAGTACTGAAACTAAGCTGACAGGACGAAATAATTGTAAAAGCACAAGTTTTGTTCAAAGCAACTCGTTGGTAGGGTGCGTTGCCCTATGTTGGTAGCCCTTTTCGTGTTCTTCAGTTTGTTTTACAAATAACCAAAGCTGAAACAAGAGTATGTCCAATTTCGAAGCCGTTCCTCTAAACAATCCCCTGTCAGAGTCCGCTACCACCCTACTGATGCTTTTCATTTCTGCTTCACTTTTATTTCAGAATAAAAACTTGTCGAAAATGGACGAAATAAATTGGCAAAAAATGACCAACTCAGAAGCGACAACGGCACTACCAACGGCAGCAACAACGGGAAAAGTTTGACCGGAAAACCGGCGAATCAAATAGCTGAGAACAACGGAGAAAAGTGTGTGTTTTGTTTATTTCCACTCGGTGAGAATTGTCTCACAGGGTCTGTCAAAAGAAAGTGACGGTTCAAAAAAAAACGGCATTTGGAGCTAGAAAACAGACCATGGTATTCTGGTGAAAGGAAAAGAAGAGAAAAAAATACAGAAGAAAGTTGTGAACTTTTAAAACATAAACACCGTACCGAGAGAGAGAGAGAGAGACAGAGAGAGAACAAAAAGAATGGACGAGGCGGATAACTGCACTGTTTGACACGGTGAAGTTACGGTTCACGGTTCGAAGAGGCGAATACTGCGACAAGGATAAAGTTTTTCCGGTTCAATTTGCCTGAGCTGTTTTCTAAACACACCCCACGGGATTTTTGTTTTGTTTCCGTTTGCTCGCACTGTCACAAACACGAAAGAGGTGAGTTTCGGGTGATTTGATTGTTTCCGGTTTTTTCTCTCTATGTGAGTGGAACAAGTGAGTTTGGGAACTTATGCTAAGTTGGGTTTCTGCACGGGTAGGTCCAGTTTCTGTGTAATCCTACGAAATCCGTTGGCATGGGGTGCTTTCTTTCGTTTCTAAGACTAATTGGATTGCAGATATTTTCTTTTTTGATTAATATAATTGTGGTGAAAACATTAATTCTCACACTACTAATCACTCCACTTTGTCTTTTTCGGTCGAATACCCATTAGGCCATTTGTGATACGATCTGTTATAATATGATCTTGTCGCTTTAACCCAAGCTGGAAGTATGTTAGTTGGTTATCAGATGCTTCAAACTTTTGAAAATGGGAAGCATTTTAACAGGTTTCAGCAAATATATTACATCATATTATATAGAACACTCTTTGCTTTCCCATAAATCACGTAAACGTGCTGTTCGGTACGTCAGAAAAGGTAACAAACTAGCTTTTGATAACGTCGAGAGAGAAGAGAATGGCGATTCACAACTCCACTCTAGATCAATATTATTAAAATGGCGATAGGGGATCCATTCGCAATGCCTTTTTGATTTTTTTTTAAATAACTTAATGCTCTACCGGAAAAAAATCGTTAATGGAAATTGAAAAAATTAAAAATGCTATCTCTAGCAACTTCTAGAAATATTTGTAAAAGTTGCTAGAAATACGGTTAAATACGGATTTTATTAAATATGGTGTTGGGCTTACTGCTGCTGCATCATCTGCATTACATCCGAGGTGTCATCACCATTTGTTCGGCGTCGCTCGCCATTGCACACAACTTTCGCTTCTTCCTCGTGGAAGATGGAAAGTTTAGTGTTTTCTTCCCAAGAAAAAGAACCCTCACACGCGATTAATATTCGCCACTTCTATACTGCGAAAGATTTAAACGGTGGTACCAACACACGATCAAGGTGTCGTAGAGGTTTTCAGTGATATTAATTGGTTCAATGGCGATTCTATTGAATACCTATATGTCGCTGTTCTGGAAAGATATTTGTTCGTAGATGTTTGTTGTTATGTAAGAAGCTCGCAGGGCTGGTAGCGAGTCACTATTTAGTGACTTGGTCCCTTTTTTCAAGCCAGTCACTAAAAAGCCTCTTTTTTTAAGGTCAAGTCACTAAAGTCACTTTTTCTTGTAATCAGTCACTATTTTCAACTTTTTTAGCGTGAATTTCTTTCAAGATTGATCATTCTTTGCTTTGTGACGTTTAATCGTCGTTCTCTATCTACAGGGTGTCTAATCATTTTTCTTAAAAAGGCACCTGAGTTTTCCAGGTTTTTCCAGAATTTTAACGGATAAATTTCAGGTTTATAATAAGAAAGCTATTTTTTAAATTTAATGTTAAAATATGCTTTTTTTGGTAGATCAAAAACAACAGCAATTTACCCACACGTTTTTATGACATGGCAATCAGTTTTAAAGAAACAAATTTACAATCAAATCCATTGAGTGTTGAAGTTTAACACTTTCTTAGTTTCTCACTTAATAAATTTAAAAATAAACTTACTTAATTTAAGTAAGTCCAAGATCTTAAATTAATCAATATCTTGAAGTTTCTTATTCCATGTACAAGTTCAAGATATTGAACATTTTCAAAGTGCCAGAATCAAGGAAAAATGATTAATTTCAAGTTCGTAATTAATTTTATGAAAGATTAGAGATCTTCAGTGCAGCCCAATTAACTTCACAACAATTGTAGGAACTTTTGATAAGTTCTGAGTAATGAAAAAAAAAATGCTGAGAATTTCAGTGAAGCGCCATAAAAAATTGCGGGAACATAAGGGAGGTTAATACGCTGAAAGTATGAGAAACTTACTGGAAGCTTTAAGAACCTTAAAGCGGTTTTTTTAGCATCCGAAAACTTCCAGGAACTTTTGTGAAGTTCCTAGAATCTCAGAGAACTTCACAGGTGTCAAGCGAATTTGAAAAATATAGAAAATATGACTTCTATTAACTTCTAAGAAGTTCTAAGTACCTCAAAAAAACTAGATCTAGAGATCTTTGGGGAATTTCAGATCTTAAGAGCAGTTTCCGTAGCTTTAGTCCAGACTTTTGGAGCAGTTTAAAGATCTTTAATCGTAAATTTTGAAAAATTCAGGATAATTTCATGATCTTCTGAAAAAAACCGAGAAACCTTAAGATGTTCCGATTCAGAGATGTACAGATACCTTCAGAGAAATTATGAAAACTTCAGAAATATTTCAGGAGCATCACTGAAGTCCAGAGAATTTCAGGGAAATTGAAATGTGTTTACGGGAATTCCATTTATTTCCGAGCAGAATCGATATCTTCAATAGAATTGAGAGATGTAGGGAAGCTCCGAGAACATCAAGACATATCAGATAATCAAAAGGAAGTTCAAATAATTTCAAGGAAATTGTAGAAACCTTAAAGAAATTTCGAGAAACTCAGAGAATTCCGTAAAGTTCCGCAAAGCTCCGAGAGAATTTCTGAAACGTGATAAAAATTGAACATCCGGAAAACGTTAGAGTATTTTAAGGGTGTTATATCATGGAGATTTCAAGAACTTAAAAAATGCGGAAATTTAGCTTAGTTCATTAGAGAACATCAACAAAATTCTATTAATTTAAAAAAATGCGAGAACTTTTAGCATGCCTCAAGGAAATCCAGAGAACTTCTAATAAATTTAGATATTTTTAGATGGTATCATGATATTCAACGAAGTTCCGAGTACTTCGAGTCAGTGCTGCAAAATCTCGACAATATACGGTGATATTGACAATTCTGCTTTGGTCACTCATTTGAGCTAACAGTCATAGTCAAGGCAAACCATGTAAATTGTCAATGACAATGCTGTCAGTGACGAACATGTGTAGATTTTTATATTAACTAAATTTGTAACGAAATTAAATGACTTGAGCAACACAATAACATAGAGCCTTTAACGTGAACAAGAATCTACGACCTGACCTACTTGGATAACAATAATGTGACACAGAATGTACGAAATTACAGCTTTTGTTACCAGGTGAATCTTTGTCATTGACGAAAAAATGAATGAGATTTTGACGAAAGTTTTTTTGAGGATCAAGTCTGTCAGTGACTAGGTGACGAACAATTTTGTCAATATCGCGTGAAAGTCTGTCAATGACAATGACAAATCTCAGCACTGCTTCGAGTACGATCAGATAGCTCAGAATAATCCCATTGACTTAAGCAAATTTGGAGCGACTTACGGAGTGCCGTCGGATTATGGGGTATTCCAAGAATTCTATATCTGAAAACTTCAGAAGCGTCAGGGAATTATGAATATATATCAGAAAATTTGCCGGAATATTAAACAAATTACCTGAAGAAGCATTCATAAGTTCAGGGAAAATTAGTGGTTATAATACTTAAGTAAAATTATCACGCGGCGCCGGTGGTGTAGAAGTAAGCGTGATTGACTCTCACAATTGTCGAAACTTCAAGGCTGGATCATATATTAATTTCAGTAAAGTTGCGGGTTCTTAACAAATACTGATAAATTCAGGGTAGTCTAGAGAATTTTAAGGAAATTCAATAATCTTTCAGGCAGTTTTAAGGGGAGGTTTACTTGGATTTTTTCAAAAAAATTGATTTTTTTGCATAAAATGAAAGCTACAAGTGTGTAGAATATGTGGCCAAAAGGATTTTACGATCCGAAACATATTTAGCGAGTTATGGCGCTTTGAGTGAACCTTTGTCATGCGCGCTGAGGGACGCTACAAAAACTTTAAACGCGTTTTTCTCGAAACCATATTTTTTATAACAACTTAGAGCATAGGTCTTGAACAAATGATCCGATTTACAATCGGAAAATTGCGCTTTGAAGGATACTATTTTTTGTATGGCTTATACCTAAAATGAAAAAAAATTTGTTAGTTACTATTTTTTAAGCGAGGTCAAAGTGAGAAAAAAGGGGTAAAAAAAGCACTTAATTTTCAAATGTTCATAATTTGGTCAATTTTTGTCGGATTTCGTTCTAGTTAGGTATAAGCCATAGGGAATATTATCAACTTTAACCACAATAAAAAAATTTCATTTCAGTTCACCACCAGAGGGTGTGCACTCGAAGTTCTGCAGCAAAACCTGACTGACACTCCTCCACGCGAGCCGCCATTTTGAGCCGCCATTTTGTTTTTTTACCTTCAAAAAATTTCCAAGTATTCAGGAATAGTGGACAAATATAATTATCGAAACCGGAAGTTCGTATGTCTTTTCATTCTCCTGAAAAAAAATTCCAAAGTTCAACCAAAGTTTTTCAGCCAAATCCAAGTAAACCTCCCCTTAATACCACCAGGATAGTCTAGACTAATGAAATAGTTTTTAATTATAATCAATAATTTAAAGGAAGTTTCATGAACTTCAGAAAATCTTGAAAACTTCAGTAAAAATCATAGAACTATATTAATTATTTCGTTCTAATTCCATGCAAATTGCGGGAGCACAAAAGTTCCAGAAATTTAGAAAAACTTCGGAATTTTCACAGAAGGACAATGATCTTCAGAAACATTTCGAGAAAATCATAGAAATCTATGGAACTTAAAGGACATCCGCGAACTTTGAAAATTGGAAGAATTTCAGCGGGAGGTCAGTTCCAGTAGTAGTCCTTTCAAGTAGTTCTGAAGACCTCAGAATAGTCCATTCTGATTTCCATTGAAATATACATCAACATTTCGATGAAGCTTCGAATTCAATTTTCTTTTAGTTTTCCTCACCATAAGAATTCCTTTGGAAAGATTCTCCGAATATTTATTAAATTCGATTCAGATTTCTTTTTGAAGCTCACTTCAAGTCGCATTTAAAGTCTCCTAAGAATTCATTGGCATTTCTCCTTACAGATTCCTTAGATTTCTTCTCATAATTTGTGTGGCAAACTCTCCTGAATTAATTTTCCGAATTCTTATGAAAATGTTCTGGATTTATTCTCAGATTTAATTGAAATCCTTCTTTTAGTATTTTCAAAACAGATTCCAAGGACTTATGCCCCGGATTCGTTTTCTCCCACAAACTTTATGAAATTATCCTCAGAAGGCCCTTGGAATTTTTCTCTGAAGAAGTTGGGCTCCTCAGAAAATACTAAGAGTTTTCATTAAAATTTACTATAAATTCAATTCAGGGTTTTTTGAAATTCTACTCAAAACCTTAAAAGCAGATTACATTTGATGTTTTTCTGAAAGCTTTTTTTCCCAGAACTTCCTTGAAATGAGGTTCTAAGAAATTATAATAAAATACCACGAGCTTTTTAAACAGTGCATGGAATTTGACTCCAGATTCTTGAAAATTTCTTGAAGTATTATAGTTCTTAAGTCCAAAACTAGTTCAAATTTAAAATTTCAAGGAAGTATGCATGTTTCAAAACAAACAAAAAAACACATTTCAAGCCTCTGTTTTTTTTTCATTTGTTGGTTACTGAAGATTAATCCACAGTGGATCTACAAAGTTCAAAAAGTGAATGAAAATAGCGAGAAAAATTAAAGGCTTGTATTTTAAAATTAATTCTTTTCTTTAAAATATTCTTAGTAATAAAATTATGAAATTCTCTGAGCCTTCCAGGTATTTTAATGTAAAATAAAATGTCCTGATGATTAAAGGTTTACCAGGTTTTTGCAGTTAGTAGACACCCTGGCTAATACCGTGGGTTTGGCCATAAACTTTCTATTGAGTCTTTCGCTTTAAAGGTTCATATCGTACATATGTATCTCATAATACAAATTGAATTAGTCTAAAACGTCAAACATTTATTTTATGTACCATCATTATTACTTTTCTTCTCTAATGTGGACCGTACACGATTGCTTTTATTGACAATAATCGAATTGTCAATACATTCAATATTGACGTCAATACATCGGTATTGACAATATTTCAGTATTCCCATCATCAATATTAATGTCAATAATTCCCCTTCACGTCAATATATTGATACGTGTGGGGTTTGCTTGAGGTCACTTTTTAGTCTCTATTTTTACAACTATAAGTCGCTATTTGGTCACTTATTTCTTCAACATGGTCACTAAAATCACTATTTTTGACCGCAGTGATCGCTACCAGCCCTGAGCTCGGTGACCTAGTAGTGACCGTTTTGGCAAAATGAGCAATCAATCTTGGGTTGGCTTCTTTCTATTGTATTACTTTTGTAGAATACAATATAGAAAATGGGTACTGTTAAAATTTGCTCGGAACCAGTGATGGTATAATCATTAGAAAAGTGATATTTTTTCGCTCTTATACGCTTTCAATATCACGCGTGATATTCTAGCAAAATATCATGCTTGATGTTGATTTTACAAGCTCCTTTGATATTGCGAGACTTATCACAACGTGTAAAGTTGAAGCTAAGAGCGCAAAAATGATTCCGTTGCATCACGTTTTTTTTTTTTATAAAGAGAACGTATAATAATGTTATCTCTTTTTTCTCTTCACCGATGGCAGACACGAAGCAGCTGCTGCCAGCCGTTATGGAAGTTTCGGTTGCTTTCGGGTGTGAATAAAAAATCATGAAACTCAATCTCACCACAGTTCGGTGAGATTTGCAGTTGTTGAGCTTTGTTATTTTGTTGATATTCCGAGCTACGATATCTCAGCCTACAATATCAACCGCAGTTGTTTGATTGTTGATTTTAGTCTACGAAAATGAAGCGTGATCGTGGCCTTTGGTGAGATTTTATTTTTGATATTTTCCCAACCCTGCTATTAATCCTCAAGTTTCCTTCCAAGAGTTGACCCTACATGGCTGTTCATCATCGGGAGTATTATGGCCTTGCCTGGATAAGTGGGTATTAGAGTGATGCAAATTTGACATTTTCGCTCCACAGTGCTCAAACGGCTTCAAATTAGGTCCGGGTCGCATCCCAAAATTTAACTCATTTGGTATGAAACTGACTTGGCACAAAGTACTTGGAGTTTGTATGGAAATTACTCAAATTTGGAGAGGCTAATCAATACCAATCAATTCCAAAATTGTTTAAGCATTATAGAGTGAAAATTTCAAATTTTGCATTAGTCTAGTGGATATACTTCGTACTTACGCTAGGGTTTTTTTTGCTTTGGAGCTGGCATTCATGTGTTTGATGTACCCCTGCGCTTAAATTTAATAATGTTTTACTGGCCTTATTGATTTTTTTTACAAAAATGACATGCATGATAGCTTATTAAAGGGTGGAACGGAGCTGCCTCCCTGGCGTCGGTAGCATTGGTGCTCAGCACGGCAAACAAGATCGACGGAAAACAAATCTAGGAGAAAAAGTCCAATACAAGTTCAGATGACTACCAGTGTAAATCCATAAAATTCTCGATCCATTATAAATCAATAACAAGATCAGATGACATCAATAAAAAATTCAGAGAACCTGCCAGGTAATTCAGGCAGGTTCCCAGGCATTTTTTGCTCATGTTTAATCAATTCAAAGGACTTTAAAAGCAATTCCAGTAAACGTCTAGGGCATAAGCAGAATACTTGCAGTACAAGTTCATAGGTGTTCTCTTGGAAAATTCCATAAGGTCCTTGTAGAAAATTCAACCCAGACGTTAGATAAGTAAGAAATGCAAACAGATGTGACCATAAAATTCGATGCGGGACGGGTACAGGCCGACTCAACTTGTAGAGCTTTCAATAATCTCGTAAAACATCTATCTGTGTTGTCTTTAGAAACGAGACTTTCAGCCAACGGCTGGGTTCGTCTAAATCTCCATCGTTTCTCCAAAAGCCTATTTCATCATCAAATTTCCACTTCGTCAACAGCCAATTTCCATCGTTTCATCTCCTTCAAAAGCAAACGTGACGAACCACATTCACTCTCTGATTGTCATTTTCATTTTAACTCCTCACTCCGTTTCGTTTGATTATCCTCTGTTTATCTCATTTCAGGCAAAAAAATCACCATCCTCTCACGGAGCAACACAACCATCCGCCAGCCAGAATGTAATCCAAAATTACATCACGTTCATCGGATTAATCATCACCCGTTCGTGTTCCGTCTGCTGCGCGAAGTTGATCTGATATCGGAAGTCACCGCCATCGGAAGCGTCGTCCGTTGGTTGCGTGCGGAGGCCAACTTTTTCCGTAGCTAGAAAAAAAAACCCCCAAACGATAAACTTCACCGACACACGAATTGAAGAGAGGAGGTGGGGTGAGAGCTCGAGATTCTCGCACCATGAAAGGATCCGACTCCAGAGCGAAACTACTATGGAGCGCCTCATCGCCTTCGTCATCCGCCAGCAGTCAGGATCTAGCGACGACCCCGACCACGACAACGGCGACAACGACGACGACAAACAGTACCCAGCAGCAGAAACAACTTGCGATGAACAGCCTCAACAGTACCAACAGTCAGAGCACCCAGGATGCGGGGTCCACCGTGAATCTGCTGCTAGGGAGTGGCAGCCCCGGTCCCGGGGAAGGAGGAGGCGGAGGCGGTTTGAAACTGACGACTGCAGCTGACAAAACGCATCAAGCGAACGGATATGGAGCGATGCGGTCAGGATCGTCCGGGTCCTGTACGATCCCAGGCTTCAACGGTGAATCGGGCAGCAATGTAAATAGTAATAGTAGCAATTGTGCTAGCAGTAGTAGTAATCATTACACGAACGGCCACGGCGGTAGCAGCACCAGCAACAGCAACAGCAGGAGTAGTAAAGGCAATTATTTTTTCGGCGGTGGCAGCGCAAGTTCCGGATGCGGTGGGCATCAGCATCAGTATCATCATCATCATCAGCATTATCACGGGTCCTCGTCGGGCGGTGGGTCCGGCAGTGCAAACATTCTAGCCCGGTGCTGTCTGTACCTGACCAAGGGGCTGAATCTGCGGTTATGTGCCGGCGCGCTAGTGATAGTTACGATAGTCTCCTTGCTGTGCTACAACTACTATATGGATAGTTCGCCGATCGCTAGGTAAGTGGATTTGGCTTTTTATTGAATGTTTATCATTGTATTGAATTGTTTATCCGATGAGTGGTCACGGTATTTTCTATGGAACGGTTTCCAGTTTTGAAAAAGGGGGGTGGAAATCCTTTATGGTTTACAATCGTTAGTCTTACAGATCACTCTTTTTTTTTTAATTTGTTAATATACTGCTGCTATTCGTATAAGATTCTCATGGAGCGCCCATTGTAATTGTAATTTCAGAATGTACACACAATTAAATTTAGGGTACGGGTAATCTTTTCTGCTATCAGCTCTCCATGAAACGTAAAAATACTTCGTATTTTTCGTGTTTCGGTCTTCAGCCTTGGCCATCTTCAGGGCATATAAAGTTGTGCCGCTTTTCATTCAGTGCAAAAATCTTTACGATCGTAAACTGAAATTGGTCCTTATGAAGATTCCAACTCCTAAATCGAAAATTTGACAATGATAAAACTGTAATCAACATTTTTTTCAAAACTTAAAAACCGGAACAAAATGACTAATTCTTCAAGACCTTCAAACATCATGGCAAATCTACACACTTATAAATACCTAATCTTACACGTGACGGAATCGAACTTTGACATAAAGGATGAAACGTAAACAAACATTTCATGTAAAATTAAGTGCTCCGATACTGAAAAGTTCGTAAGTACGTTTGATTGAGCTGAATTTCACGTCTATTATGACTCAATTTTATGTCAAAATTGACGCTCGTATACGTCAGTCTCAGAGCACCTAATTTTACATCAATTTTTCTAAGTGTGTGGACTTATCTAAAGTTTTTGGTATTTACTTGAAGTAATTGTAACTGCTATAAAGAGCTCTGAATCTCAAAAGTTCCCGCAACTTTCCTGAAGTTTTGAATACTTCCTGAAGCTCATGGAACTTCCTTTGAAATCTCTAAACTAACTTCTCTTACCTTCGAATAATTTTCCTAGTACTCATGGAATATCCCTGAAGACCTTGCAAATTTCCAGAAATTATTGGAATATTCATGACATTCTTTGAATGTTTCGTAATTCTTGGATTTTTTTGAAGGTTCCTGCAATTAATGTATGGATGCTCTGAAGTTCTTCGACCTACCTTGAAATACAGTGAATAATGAAAGTACTAAAAATCTGAAATCTTCTATGAAGTTCTGTAGACTTCCCTGAAAATCTGAAGTTCCGGAAATTCCCTGAGTTTCTTCAAATTTCTGTAAAGTTACTGCTATTTTCTAGAAAATAAATGAACTTCCCTGAAGTTCTATGATCATCCTTGATGTTCTCGAAGCTACCTTGAAGTTCTCACAATACTTCGGAAGTTCTTGGTACTGTCCTGAAATTAATGGAGCTGTCTTAAAAACCTCCCTGAAAAACTCTGGAAATCTATAAATTTCTTAAAATATGTTTATGGTTTTCTAAAAAATTTCAGTAGATCTCTGGACTGCCCTGCAATTCCTGAAACTTCTTAAAGAAGATAAAGGGATTAAAGTTTTAACAATTTTCCGAATGTTCTCTGGACTTCTCTGAAGTTTACTTGTCTTCCCTAAAGTTCTCTGGATATCACTGAAGTTCCTAGAACATCTCTGAAATTAATAAGATCTAAGCTACCCCACGTTTCTGCAGTTTCTTGAATTTCCCTGAAGTTCTCCAGACTATCTCTAATTTGTGAAAGTTCCTGAAGGTTCTCGCTATTTTTCTGTTTTAATAGGACTGCCCTATAATACTCGACATTTACTTCTCTGATGCTCCCGAAATTACCCCAATCATAGACCTGCACTGAGTTCTCTGAAATGTCCGCTTTAAACTTCTAAAGTTTTGGTATCTTAAATAATATTCCTGATAATTTCTTGAAGTTAATGGAACTGCCCTGAAGCTCATAGATCTTCACTGAAATTCTAGAAATTTTCTTTTAATCTATTGAAAGCTTACCACTTGAAATCTATAAACTTCCATGTTGTTCTGGACGCTCTTGAATATCTCGGAACTACACTGATGTTTTCGGAACTTCCTTTAAATTCTGTAAATTGGCATGAAATTCTCAAAACTTCTTGAAATTTCCCGCTATTTTTCAGATGCTAATGGAATGTTAATGTTGTTTTCAAAATTTTCTATAAGTTCTTACGCTCATGGAACTTGTAACTTCGTATAAGATTTCTGGACTGCGCTATTGGAACATCTGTAAGGTTCCTACAATTTTTCTGAAGTTAATCAAACGGAGTTCTCAAAATTTTCCAGACGTTTCCGGAATGTCCCTTTTGTGTCCACAATTTTCCAGGCATTCATGGAACTGCCTCAAGTTCTTAGAACTTTCTCGACGCTCTTTGAATTCTTGTGAAGCTCCTGAATTTTTTTTGATATTAATAGAACTGTTTTGAAATTTTCTGATCTTCATCTAAGTTCACGAAATTTTCTTGAAATTAATGGATCTACGATTTTTTGCCTTGTTTTGTTTTCCGTACTGAGTACCATTGCTACTGACGCCTGTGATGTAGCTCCAACACCTGGATCCTACATATGGACCCATCAACTTATGGACCGGGGACCAACGGTTTTACTTCCCTTCCGAAGGAAAGTTTGATCAGAGATTTTATGCCTCAGAAAATCCCGACGGCGCCGACGGGATTGAACCGAGGGTCTTACCACTACGCCACCGGCGCTGCTTGGATGGATTTATGTTGATGTTCTCAGAATTTACCCTTTATGATCTATAAACTTCCTCATAGTTCTAGACTTTCATGCAGTTCTCGGAAGCTTTTGAAAGATCTCTGAATGTTTCGGATTTTTCTTGAGAGCTTCTTTCACCACCACTTGAAATTGTAAAATTGATCTAATTAGATCTGAACATCTCTGATTTTTTCCTGAAGATCACTGAACTTCTCAGAACTGCTGAATAGTTCCTGGAATTTTCCTGAAATAATGGAATTGTCTTCAAGTTCTTGGATATATACAATGTAAATAAAACCGTCGAACGAGGGTTGATACATTCACTCGCTAAAATGTCAAAAATATATTTTAATGTTTGGATTAAATTTTCTTATTTGATTTGCAATGTATGCATATTTTTTTTGTTATTCGGCGGATTTTATTTTTCAAGGGGTAGAGCAGTATTTCATCATTTTGAGAGCGCCTTGCAAAAAGTAATGGATGGGCGCATATAGATCGATATTTCTGCGCCAAGATAGTTTTAATTAAAAAAACAAATCGTTTTTCGTAGCTCCATGAGTAACTATCATGACAACGCTATACTTAAGTAATGCTGACAAGAATTCGAAATAAGTGTAGTTTCATAGAATATCAATCAATCTCTTGAAGCATTCAAATGAATTTTGTGGGAAATTCCAAGCAAATTGTGGAATGATGCTTGAAGGATGTAGAGAAAATTTATACGGTAATTCTAGGAAGAAATTTAATATACTTATCAGCAGAATTCCAAAGCCATTCAGCGGAGAACGCCATGTCTATTCTAAGACAATTATGAAGAATATTCCAAAGCAATTAAAGAGTATCATGCAGACAAATTAAAGCAAGTTCCTGTGAGAATGCGAAGAAAATTGTAGAATGAATCCCATGGGATTGCACGAGAGAATTCCTTGAGCGTTATGGAGAACATTTTAAGGGAATACTACGTAGATAGATAGAGAGAGATAGATCAAGATAATTCTTGATACATTTTTAGACGAGCTCTGACAAAACTGTGGAATGATTGAAATAGAATTCGTGCAAAAACCTGTGAAGGATTGCGACGAAGTTATTAAGACAATTCAGCAATGTGAACGTGAACCACGTAAAAACTTAAGGGGTGTTGGATTGTCTACATGAAGGTATGGCGAGGGTTAACACCTGCCAAAAAAGTTCTACGTAGTTTATGAACAGCCCCCATTTAAAAGTTATGGACTGAAAAAAATCTTCAGGATTTTGGGACTTGGATTTTTTCTTGGACATATCGAAAATAGTCTTTGAAGCTAGTTGGTTGATCTTTTCATAACCACTTTACATAAACACAATTTGCTTTATTTGAATATGAACTTCATATTTCTTTAAATTGAAAAGATCAGGAAATGTACTGAACTTGTCTCATAAATAAGTGATTCGTTTCAGAGAGTTCAATAAAAAATGTGATAAATTGATTATTTTTTTTTTTATTTCTTTTTATTCGACCTATCAGAATTTCGGGGCTAGGCTCAAATGACATCTAGTAAATTCTAGTTGTCTAGAGATAAACTAGAGTCATACTTAAATATTAATGAAGGGGCCAGAAGGAAAGGGTTTGAAGTGGCATACAGAAACGTGCACAATTATAACAGATTATGAACCTTACCCACTTATCAAAACCTCTCTTCCCCTCTTAAGGTTATGGGCAAACCTTAATGTGAAATGCGTCTTTAAAATGTTGCTCAAATTATCGGAAAGTGCTATTTATTGCTATTTTTTAAAGTGCTTCTCCTAGTTTTTTTTTTTAGTATCGAAGGTTATAAACTCTCAGTTTTTGAGATTTATCTGATTCTCAGAGCATTTTAGAGCATAGAAATTTAGAATTAAATATCAGAAAAATAAAAATAAAATCAAAGAAATCAGAGAATTCAGAAAAATCAGAAAACAGAGAATAATAGATCATCTAAATCAGGTTACTCAGATGTTAGATTAATCATATTAATCAGAGATCAGAGAATGCAGACATCAGAAAAATAAGCAAAATGTTTGAAATAAGTCTAATCAGAGAAATACAACATCAGAAATAAGAGCAATTGTAAATCAAAGTACCCAGAAATCAGATTGATTACTCTGAGAAGTCAGAAATCAAATTTATAAAAATATATAGAAAACTTAGAGGAAACAAAAATAAGAAAAGCCAGAAATCAGAGAATCTAAGAATCAGAGAATCTAAGAATCAGAGAATCTATAAACCAGTTGAATCAGAGAAATCAGATAAATATGCAAACTTAGTTAATTAAGTTTATTCAGAGCAGTCAAGGAAATCAACTTAGTCAGCAATCCACTAAT